AAATTAAGGTCCTGCTGAAGCTGTATGTTTCATGAACTGTTTAACAGAGTTTTATAGAGTAAAAGATTAAGCTGAATTTTATTTGGCAAAATATAGGTTAATGCCATTTACTATAAGATGTTTGTGTTCAACCTTAGGCCACTTCTCTCACTGGATTGCACAGAAATTATTTTATCTTTCACTTGTAAGAATTCTTTCAGTTTAGGCGTTTTTTTTATTTCAATAGCACTGCAAGCATATTTACAATCTGATTTGACATGGACAAATTGACTGTTGTGTGTATTAATTAGTGAAGACTACAGACATTTCTACTCATATTCAAAGTAAGCCCGGTAGGAGCCGTTTACTGAAATGTCACCTGAGGATCAGGCTTTTAAGCAATCCCTGTTAATCCATTCTTTTTTATTTACAGTGTTTAACCCAATTCCCTTCAATTCAGCAGTTTGCAGACTGGGAGAAATACAGTAATTAACATTTAATAAAAAAGTAAATATAATGCATAGACAATATTAAATTATTTTATTTATATAATTTAATTGATTGTGACGAGTCTTGATAGATTTTATATATGTTTAACAAAGATAAAAAATGTAGCTTATTTTGTTTTTCCTTAATTGAGATGGATACTTGAACCTGGGTTTGCATGTGACATCCACCTTAGTTATTCCTCATTACAAATTCATTCTGTAGTAAGACTAAGCTTAAATAAATATATGCGTATAATCGGGCATTTTATAGACACTCCATGTTTAAAAGATTCATTTCTGGGGGACAGTCTTATGCCATTCTATTAAGTCGTTTGGTCTCTGTTGCATATTTGCTTTTCAACAAAAGAAAATGTGGCTGAACAGTGATGAACAACCTGTAGTCAAAAACGTATTGTGGAGTATTGGTAGTAACAACTCATATGAAAAATATTATTGTCCATTGAGTTTTATTTCCAAGAGGCATGAGTTTCTACTGACAATACATTTAGAAAAAGAGCTGCCACCTAGATACAAGTATAATAATCCAATTACTTAGATTAATGATGGATGTTTGTTGATCAGCCAGATTAGCCCATTCTTTATTTGAAGCAGCATGTTGGAGCTGGTGATGATCTAGCTGTTTGTGTTTTAGCCTTACATTGATAATAGATGTGTGTGTGGACCCTTCCTGTTTCTATGCTTTATATGAACCTTTTAGTGTCTAAGTCATTTAAATGTTTCTGCTGGGTAATATTCATTTTGTCCAAGAACAATGCATTTGAAAACTGTGATAATTAAATTTGAATTTAGTTTTGGCCCAGAGCAATGTATTTGTAGGCTGTGATAATTAAAGAAGAAAATATAGAATAATTTAGGAACGGTTGGATTAGTTACGTGGTTTTCCTGGCAGCCAAAGTATTTATGCATGTCCACTGGCATTTTTCTGTGTAATGATCACTCTACCAAACAAATAGTAAGTAGAAAAGAGGATCTTTGATACTGTAACAATAACAAAACTGCTGCAATGAATTCCATTTTACATTTACAGTTACCATTTAACAAACATACAATTTAAATTGCAATGAATTTTCCCCCGCAGACAAATCTACATTTGTTTACTAAATTATTAGACTTTTACTTATTTTTAACAAGAAACCTTCAAAGTTTTTTTTCACACCAATCCTGATAATTCCTGACAAGGTAGACTAGGGTACAATTATCCACAGCTGGTGTCTGAAGTTACTAGATTCTCCAATATGAATGTTTGTAATGCCTTTCAAGTGTGATTCCTCCTCCAAGCTTTCAATTTACTTTCAATTACTGTTAAGCTGACTCGGCAGCATTCCTAGCAATTTAATAATGGACCTTTAGGTGGTCCCTCCAACTAACCGGCAGGATGACTTTTTGTAATCAAACAGGATAACTGAAGTAAGTCCTACTTTGGTTTTAATTTTAGATGTCTAAATCAAACATACTGTATTGTTTTCAGATTTATGGCTTTTACTATTTTTGTCTCAGATACATGCTTTTTAAAATATCTGAGATAGTTCTGTGTTTCTGTTAACATTGGAAAAGGATTTAGCTTAAATTATCGATACTGTTGGTTGTTTTTGAGGTTTCTGTGCTGTTCGACACCCCATTAGGGGTTAGGCAGGAGAGCCATGACCACTGGGAGCCACATCTACTTATTACTTTGGAAAAACTGGACTCTTCGCAAAAGACAAAAGGTACTGTTTTGTAATTTGGCAGGGTACAAAAGTAAAAGATAAATGAAACGTTTAAAGGTTTCGGGTTTTTTTTATATTCCTTAACTGATTACGATGATAATGATGAAAATGATTATTCCTTAACGGATAATGAGGGAGATGTGTTTTGACTAAACCTCTCTTCCATAAGAGAGGAAGCACGTTAAAAATAAACAACTTTGGCAACTAGAATAAAGTTTATATGTACATTATAAGTAGAGTTAGTGTATTATAAAACAATTTTAATTGTGAGTCATACTGGCCTGCAATAAAAATCCAATGCTGCCACATTTTAAGATATCCTACATAAAATAAGTTTAGAATAAGAGAGGAAAACTGTATGAAAGCAGTAAGTTAAACTTGGCTTTAATGAGCTCATAGTTAAACACAAAGTAATGTGTATACCCAATTCCTCTCTCTTGTAAATCTAAATGAATCAAGACAGGAACAAGCTAAGTGTAACAGTTCCTGAATTCACTCCATTGTTAAACTTCAGCCACGCATCCAGTGTTAGATTCAAAAAGCATTCCAAAAGCCCCTTTGAAGTTTTGAGTTCCTTAAAGTAAAGGATACACTAAAAGATTCATGTCTACTTGACCTTGCAACTCGCTTGGTATTTCACTAGAAAAAAATAAAATACTGAGATTGTTGTTGTAAATCACAAACATAAGTACAGATTGCATTAAATGAAAGCTTAAATTTAGATTAACTTTTCCTCAGAGACCTGTAGTTTATCTTACAGGGTGTCAATTAGAGAGTGACGCGTCAGCATCAAATCTACCACACACATGCCAATGGCTTTTTAAATGGAGAATTGGTGAATTTTACTACCCTCTTTCACTGTTCTAAAGAAAGTGAAGAGAGACGCATGACAGACATACGTACACTGTGAGATATGTACATTATTACACTTAAGTTGTAAAAGGAACAGTGTATCTTATCTTGTCAAATTAGGGCACAAAGTTACAGGAGACATACGGTACTGCTTATCAGAGGAGTGACACATTTTTCATTGACTCCACTGTTGGTCAAAACTGCTGGTGCCCAGTAAATACAAGGAATGGCTGGTTTGGTAAAAACTAAGAACAGTTTAGCTGATTGAAACCAATCTGCTACCACACCAATCTGCCAGTTGTGCCTTGACACTTAAGACAGTTCAGGTTGCAGTCAGCTAGTGTCATGATCTGTGTTTAAACGTCTGACATCTGTGTCATTACAAAGTTGTAAAATGAATTCAGCAAGAATTGTTGACTAAAGCACTCATCAGTCCAGCTTAATTGGATTTTTAAGGATTAATAACAATATGTAACTTGTTTGGTTTAATCGGTAGCTAGTGACATCACTGCTTTTTTCTTTAAAAAAACATCTAGATACTAATATTTTACTTTTGTGGTACTCAGGTGTTTAGGTCTTTGTTTTTTTTTTCTCTCTAGCTTCGGTTCTTTGTTGAGATAACTTGGCCGTTGGTTCTGTTTTTTGGATTGGTGTGGTTGAGAGAGGCTAACCCACTATACCGACAACATGAATGTAAGCATGTACTTTCATTTAATATGGATATAGTTCTTTTCATGCATCTTCGGACTTTACAATACATGTTGTAAACTCTCTAAAGGGAAAATTCTTGTCTTCAAGTAACAAAAAGTAAAAAGTCACAAGTGACAAGTAGTCAAAAAGTATCAAGTATCCAATATGATTATGTGGAATGTAGTTTTTATGACAAAAATGATCTTAGGTAAAGAAGATCAGTCCATACTTTCATACTTTAATGTTTTTAAGTTAAGGTTAAAAGTCATATACAATGTCTGCTTTTTGAGATTTAACTCCTTGGCTTCATTGTAGAAATTATCATTCTGAACTATTAACATTCTAGGTTTAGAAAATCAAAGATAAAATTAAACCTGTTACAGGAAAACTAAGAATCTTACAAAGTTTATTTGGAACAATTATAGTAAAAATAATTGAGCAAATTGTCACAATGATAAATAGGTAAATGCCAAACATCAATATTCAAATATCTTATTCCTTATGACAATTATTTTTGGATTATTTCACTTTGAAAAGGTCACTTTCCCAACAAAGCTATGCCCTCTGCTGGAATCCTGCCTTGGATACAGGGGATGTTCTGCAATGTTAACAACCCCTGCTTCAGATACCCAACACGTGGCGAGTCTCCTGGTGTTGTCTCCAACTATAACGGCTCTATGTGAGTCAATCA